TTCATGGAGAGTGGAAGCAGCACAACCTAGCAATATCCAAATGCAAGCTATTGACATGAAGTTTGTTTTTTAGGAGGCTGATTTTGAATGTGGTATCAAGATGGAATATTTCATGTCTGGTTTTGATATTAGAAATGTCTTCTCTTCCTCCTCAATTTGTTCTTAATTAAATTTCTTTACAATTTAATGTTTTATGTGGATTGTTTTGTCTGCTGACTGACTTCTGACCTTTAAGAAAGAGAGGATTACTTTCTCAGGAACATTGTTTTCATGGGGTTTTCTTTTTTTCTAATTAGCCCAGTTTTTAAAAAAACCCAACACTTTCTCCCCCTATTTTGTACATTAGATGCCCCCAAAGTTTGGGACTGTATAGTCATTTCAGACATCATTGCTGACGATCTTTGTGTTTGTACCAGATCATCTTCACTGCATTTCCAAACTTTTTTTGCTTTGAACCACAGAAAGATTTATTTTGCAGTGCACAAGAAGCATTCTAGAACTTGTGTCAGTCATCGTTTTAGTTTTATAAGAACTTTGACAAAAATGTGCTGTGTGTTTCATCTGGGATGTGGAAGGCAAAACTTAGTATGATGCACCTGTTGGCTTTTAAAGCTGACTTCTTGATAATTTCACTGAGGCACACATGCCTTCCTCCTAAGCTTCTGTTTGATAAGATTTGAACATTGATTCTTGCAAACCAAAGCGATTTCCTTTTTGCGGACTTCAGAATAGCGTGTGTCTCTGAATTCTTTGTGCAGACCTTTTTGTCTCCCAAGCTGCTGCTAGTATGTATCTGGTCTATAGAAATCACTCAAGCTCTTGCAATTTATTAAATAACTGAACTATTTTAAGTCTCTGGTGTGTTTTCATAGAAAGCTTTGTTTAGGAAATGAGGTTCCCAAAGAAAGCAAACTTTGGACCCTTAGTGTTTAAAAACAAGCACATCCTTTGTTTTGAATGTTACCGGCAACTATCCATTGTCCTAAATAAAAGGATCGCTAAAAACACAGTCAGCCATCCTTAGATGATCTAAATCTTTTACTTCACTCTTCTTGTATAAGTGCATCTGTCTTCCAAAATACTGTTGTCTTTTTGCCAAAGCGCTGAATTATATTGCTGAATGTATTTTTTATGTGTTTGTAGCAGAGTTATGTGCCTCATAGATACTGTGCTGCTTACAAATTACAGTGCTTCTTGCTGCTTTTGACTAGCAAATGTTCCAAAAAAGTCAAATCCCTTCTCGCTGAAGTATTTCTGTCTTTTCTAATATGGATTTACCCAAGTAAAATGTCTCATTTGCAGTATCTTGCTTTAGTACTGCCTTTCTAACTTTTTTGGGTATTTGACATACTCAGAATGAGACAGCTGAAAGCTCTCTTGCATGTGATCATTTATGGATAGAGAACAGAAAGCACGCTTCAGTTTTCTAATATTGTTTGCACATGTTTTCGGGATGTATCTCTCTGCTACAGGTAAATCATATTTCTAATGTTATGGTGAACTTTTTATCTGCTTAAAAAATACTCCACTGTCGTTAGCATTAGATTTTTCTTCAGTCATCAGTGGACTGTTATGAAATGTGGTTGCTAAAGACCTATCCGTAGAATAACATTTTAGATCGTAATACCAACTGGATAGATTTATACATCTGAAATTCATTTAACCTTCATATCAACTATCTATGTATTTAAGGGCTAATTTTTCATGCCTAATTTGCACATGCAGTTACTGTGACTGAGTATGCAGTTATGGTAAAAATCTGTGCAAACAGTAGGTGTTTCGTCTATAGCAGTTTTACACCTTCGATCACTGTAACAGCTAAGTAGGAATTTCATGAATAAGGGAAAAGAAATAAGCACGCCTGGCTTTGAAAATCTGTGCCTCATGTCTTAGGTCTCTCTAGCTAAAACCTTCTTTTCTGACTCTACCCTGTTTAGCTTGTTACCTATTTTCCATGCTTTTCTCTGTAGTCATGTTCTCTCCATGAAGGTAGTGGTCTCTCTATCCAGTATTTCATGGCCATTCCTTATCACATTGATTAAATGATAGCTTTTGTGACCAGTAAGTAGAAGGTCTTTCCCTGTCTTTCCTCAATAGAACAATTTCTGGGACATTTTATGTTGCAGCTCTGGCACTAAGCATCTTTCTCAAGCTCTCGTCCTACATGCTTGAGTCCCCTAGTATGAACAGTTCACTGCACCTGAGACTACCTTGTCCCAAATAATTTATACTGCTTTTGATTTCTCTTTGAATTAAGTGTCATCCTGGAATATCCTATGGATTACACTGTAATAGTTAAAATCCCTAGCTAGACTGCTTTTCTGTGAGAGTCTTCTCTGACCTACAATTGATTCAGTCACTTCTCTAAACAGAGCAGCGTACAACGTGAAAGTCTTTAAAATCTATTTATGAATGAAATATGGAGATTTTTCCAAAGTAACCACAGAGCATATGACTGTGTTTTATGTAGGACTACACAAGTATTTTTGTATGTTCTGACAGCTGAGGTCGTATAAAGAGTTAAAGCACGACTGTTTTTATTGGACTTTACTGCAAACATTTATAAAGCCATTTCTCTGTGTAGTGCATATTAGTAATAGATTAAACTGAGAAATGTGGTCTCAGTATTTACAATACAGAATGTGCTTTCCTTTTGCTGACACCTATGGAAAGGAAACTGCTGCACAGCAGCAGATGATAATAATTTCAGTCGATTTTCTTCCTTTCCTACTCCCACCCTCTTTTTGGAGACATAATGTAGGGGTTGTAAAGCAATCTCTAACGTGCTTGCTATCACTTGCCAGTAAGAAATCTTGAGGCCTTGAAAATGCTTTTGAATTAGCTTTTTTGTGCCAGTGTCTTCCTCCTGTTTGTTCTCTACTTTATTTCAAATTGATTTTTGAACAGATCTATAAGAAAATTTAGAGCATTGGAAAATAAATGTGTTCAAAAAATATTGAGGACTTAAGAGATACGGTACTTGACTATGTTAGATCAGTTACCTGCAGATTTCACTTTCTGAGGATGCTGGGCTCATTCATAATACAAAGAAAGTACAAAGCTCTTGGTTTGTGCAAACCTGGAATTTCACAGCTGTAGCCTTCAAATAATTTGTTTTACAGGAACAGACCATATCCTGTTCGTAGGATTATGCAACAGCTTAAGCAAGTACTTCTTGAGTACTTGAGTACTGCGCTCAGCTCTGGGGCCCCCTAATTAAGAAGGACATGGACCTGATGGAGCGGGTCCAGAGGAGGGCCACGAAGATGATCAGAGGGCTGGAGTACCTCTCCTATGAGGACAGGCTGAGAGAGTTGGGGTTGTTCAGCCTGGAGAAGAGAAGGGAGACCTTAGAGCATCCTTCCAGTACCTAAAGGGAGCCTACAGGAAAGACGGGGACGGACTCTTTATCGGGGAGTCTACTGATAGGATGAGGGGTAATGGTTTTAAACTGAAAGAGGATAGATTTAGATTAGATACTAGGAAAAAATTCTTTACTGTGAGGGTGGTGAGGCACTGGAACAGGTTGCCCAGAGAAGTGTGGATGCTCCATCCCTGGAAGTGTCCAAGGCCAGGTTGGATGGGGCTTTGAGCAACCTGGTCTAGTGGAAGGGGTCCCTGCCCATGGCAGGGGGGTTGGAATTAGGGGATCTTTAAGGTCCCTTCTGACCCAAACCATTCTGTGATTCGCAGGGTCAGGATCCTATTTGAGAGTGAGATTGAAAAACCAGTAGGTTGAAAGGATGATTTTACTTTGCGGAGTATGGAGAGCAACTGATACCAAAAGGAAAATAAGAATCTTGGAGATCCTTCAAGCATAGTCATGTTAAGTAAAAGCATGTATTACAGCTTTGGATTGTTTTTTAACTGCAGCATTGCACATCTAAATCTGGAAAGTTTAGAAGTACTGAAGTTTTAGCGAATGTTAAATGTTCAGATCTTTCAGTTCACAGGTTTTGAACCTTTGGGCTTACTTTTTCAAGTGTTTTTTCTGCAGCCATGAGTATTATAAATTTCTGTTAACATACAGTCAAATGCACTCAACTGTTGATGCTTTAAGCAAAATATAAACCACTCTGAAACATACAATGAAATGATAAAAGTATGTAGCACTATCAGGAGAACCTTGAAACAGCTGACAATGCACAGCATGTTTCCTTCCAGTTTTAAAGCCATTTGTCCAGATGTTGAAACAAGCATTTCTTGTCGTACCTGAAATAGTCTTTTTGCTCCCTCTGTTTCTTGTATAACTAGGCTTCCCCTTTGGGTGCAGAGGTTGCACATGATAATGAACCTGTTTTGAGTTGGCAGCGGGACTCAAACTGTATGAGCTTTGTTTGAAAATAGTCAGTTCAACTCACGAGTCAATGTTGTGTTTATATAACAGTTTGGCAACTTAGCACCAGATGCTGGAAAGTGCATAATATGGTTCTTCAAATGACTTAATACTAGTAGTAACATTTTCAGAAGATTCTAACTTTGTATTGCATTTTTATTGGATTCTGATGAATTTTGAACTGAGCTTTAAAAGAGGTTTTTTTAATAGGGAGCTTTATATGGCTTCCTACTTATCAGACTTATGCATATTGTGGGGCCCTATCAGTGAGAAATAAAGCTTTATCCAGTTTTGGCTTTGGAGTGCTGGATCCTTCTGTTGGTTAGTGTTGCACAGCTTGAATGTAATAGTGCAGCTTCCATGGATAGAAGTGTAGATTAGAAAATTTCGTAGACCGCTGACATTTTTAAATACATAACTGTGCATATGTATGATGACTTAATTCTGTGAATAGTTGTTGAAATCCCATCACTGTGTATAACTTCGATGTTTTTTGTAGTGTCATTGTATTCCTTTAGGCAGTGTCAAGCATGAGGGTAGTTCTAAAATTTTCAGAGTTGCTTTGTTCACCTTGTGTGGGTGACAGTGTGTGTCATCTGTGCATTTTCCTGAACATACGGGTTTATGCTGATTTTCACCCCTTTGTGTTTCTCTCTAATTACAGGTCACCTATTTTACAAATTTGGAATCACAGAATCTGACTGGTATCGAATCAAGCAAAGCATAGACTCCAAATGCCGAACAGCTTGGAGGCGGAAACAGCGAGGGCAGAGTCTTGCCGTGAAAAGCTTTTCAAGGCGAACACCTTCATCATCGTCTTACAGTGGTTCAGGTAAAAAACCAAACAACCCATTGGCGGCTCATGGCTTAGACAAGCGTGCTCTTTGCTGGGTGAAAAACTGGCTGGATGGACGAGCTCAGAGGGTTGTGGTGAATGGGGTGAAATCCAGTTGGTGGCAGGTCACAACTGGTGTTCCCCAGGGCTCAGTATTGGGGCAGTTCTGTTTAATATCTTTATTAATGATCTGGATCAGGGGATCGAGTGCACCCTCAGTAAGTTTACGGATGACACCAAGTTGGAAGGGAGAGTTGATCTGCTGGAGGGTAGGAAGATTCTACAGAGGGATCTGGACAGGCTGGATCCATGGGCCAATGCTAATTGTATGAGGTTCAACAAGGCCAAGTGCCGGGTCCTGCACTTCGGTCACAACGACCCCATGCAGCACTACAGGCTTGGGGAAGAGTGGCTGGAAAGCTGCCCAGCAGAGAAAGACCTGGGGGTGCTGGTCGACAGCTGGCTGAATATAAGCCAGCAGTGTGCCCAGGTGGCCAAGAAGGCCAACGGCATCCTGGCCTGTATCAGAAATAGTGTGGCCAGCAGGAGCAGGGAGGTGATTGTCCCCCTGTACTCGGCACTGGTGAGGCCGCACCTCAAATACCGTGTTCAGTTTTGAGCCCCTCGCTACAGGAAGGACATTGGAGCATGTCCAGAGAAGGGCAATGAAGCTGGTGGAGGGCCTGGAGAACAAGGAGAAGGGTCTAGGGAACTCGTGAGGAGCAGCTGAGGGAACTGGGGTTGTTTAGCCTGGAGAAAAGGAGGCTGAGGGGAGACCTTATCGCTCTCTACAACTACCTGAAAGGAGGTTGTAGTGAGGTGGGTGCTGGTCTCTTCTGTCAAGTGGCTGGAGGTAGGACGAGAGGAAATGGGCTCAAGTTGCAGCAAGGGAGATTTAGGTTGGATATTAGGAAAAATTTCTTTACTGAAAGGGTTGTCACACATTGGAACAGGCTGCCCAGGGAAGTGGTGGAGTCACCATCCCTGGAGGTATTAAAAAAGCACGTAGACAAGGCACTTCAGGACATGGTTTAGGGGGCATGGTTGATGGTTGGATTCTATGATCTTAAAGGTCTTTTCCAACCTAAATGATTCTATGATTCTATAACCCCCCTCAAAACCCAAACAAACCCCAACAGAAATGGAAACTTACAGTAATAATGCCATTTGTTTTTCAATATACCTGAAAATTATATTGATCTTAGGTTGTAAATACAACAGGTGCATGTAGGACCCACAAATGTGAATATTTTTATGTAACAAAGAGAAATGGAGAAACCCACATTTCTCACAATTGAATTTTTGGAGTGGATTTTATATTATTGCATATTTTTTTTGAAGTACTATTTATCATTGGCAAAGAGGCCTCTCTGTTAACAGTATATGTATGTCTACAGTGCTCCTCAAGGAATGTATCCATGTACTAAGTGAAGCTAACCATCTGTAGTTAAATCATCATGGGTCTTCAGCGCAAGCAAACCACCTCCTGGTACATTCGGAGTCCTTCGCAGCCTCATGGGGCTTGTATCAAAGTAGATCCCTGGTAGGATGAGCTTCCAATCCTGTTACATCTACAGATTGCAGTCATGCTCCTGGTTGCAGTGCATTAATGATCCTTGAAAGGAAGCGAGATGTGTGTGTGTGTGTGTGTTCACAAAGAAAAGAGGGAGAAGGGGGTCTGTCTCTGAAACAGTAGTAGAATACAGATTTGCCAGAAATGAAAGTGTAGTATATTCCAGTGCGTGAGAGAGATTGGCTTGGTTGATTTGTACGTTATCTGAATGCCTGACTTCACTGAGATACTTGAGAACGTCCATGCGCATCTGTTAACTGAAAAAATTTAGTGCATGCAGCTTTGTGCTATCATATGGTTTGTTCGTTTGGTTTTTTTACCATAGTCATTTTTTTCAGTGGAAGGTCAAAATGTTTATGCAACTGTTGTTCATAAGAGGAGTCAAGTGAATAAATCTTTCTCAGTGTGTTCACACCATTTAGTAGGACGTGCTAAATTTTGTTCCTGAAGTATTTTTCTCTGAAGAAATTAAATATGTTGTAGGTGATTCTATATTTCCATGTAGGTATGTAAGCATGAATAATAATAACAAATGAAAAATACTGACCTAAGAAGTGTTCTCATAGGACATTTCTGGCTCATTCTTTTAATATAAAGCAGTGTTATGGGACATTTGTACATCATATATTAAAACCAGTGTTTTGGAAGTGAGCCCAAAGAAAAGGAAGTAAGTTTATTTGCCTGCATAAAATTTTTGGTTGCATGTTAACACTAACCACTGTATCTCATGCAAAGAATGCCAAAATCTGCTTTCAATGGAAAATTTTATGTGCTGGAACTAGGAATCATATCCAAAATTCTCAAATTAAAACAACTAATCAACATAATGATAACCATAAGCCATATATGTTGATGGGATTTTTATTTGCAGTCTCTTAGCAATCAGTATTTTAGAATAAAAAATGCAGTAGTAAGTGGATATTATGGGCCTGTGCTCATTAGACCATGTTCCTTGACTGTTGTGGAGATTTATTATTAAAAAATATTAATCTTTAATCTCCTGGTTTGGAGATTTGGGGAGACCAGTGTAGAGATGTAAAACACAGACTCAGGCTCAGTGAATTTTGTCTTCAGAAGGCCACAAGATAGTAAGTTTTGGTGGTTTTGGGTTTGTTTTTTTGTTTTTTGGTTTTTTTGTGGTTAAGCTGAAAACTAATTTTTTTTCCCCCAATTCCACTAACCTGATTTGTGAGTAAATTGTTCCATGGCTACAAAGACACCTGAATTAACTCTTGGGATTTCAGCAGCGTGCTATCTGAGCAGGTGGGAGTGGTGCAGTACAGACATTCAAGAGCTGGTTCTGCAAAGGCCACCTCAGTATTTTGGGTTGTGTGGCCAGGCTAGCTCATTTAGCTGGCGCAGAGCTGGCTGCCTTTGGTACATCAACTTCCAGGATTGCCCCAGGAGTTTTTATGCTGCCTGGGTCTCCCGCTGTACAGGCTATCTCATCTCCCAAGTCCCCTAGACAGCAAAGAGGTGGCTGCATGTCCTTATAAAGATGTCTTTGGTCCTGAAGATGATGAAGGTCAGCTGAGGCATCTTGGCATGTCACTGGCAGGGCTGTATAGACTATGCAGCCAGAAGTAGAGTACCGGCAATAACATTAACGGCTGCCTTTGGTAATGGTATGTGCAAATGTTCCCATGGATTCAAAGTATTTTGTTAATTCTCTTTAAAATATTACTTTTACTCAGAACGTCACTGGCATAATTTTCTGGGAGGCTGTAAAGATGTTGGATGAATTCACCACTACATTTGCACCCACTGTGAAAAAGCTCTTAGAAAAATAGACCACTTTTCAGAATCAGGTGATCCTTTGAAAAACTAATATGCATTTGAAAATCAGGTGGGAGTGGCATTTCACCTGAAGAAAGAGGAGGAGGTATAATAAAAAACAGGAGAGCAGTATATAGGGAAGGCTGAGCGAGTATATAGGGAAAAGAAAGAGAAGCAAAGATGCAAGGAAATTATGTAGTTTCATGTATGTTTAAAAGGGTAACTTTTGCATGACAGGGCTGTAATTCCACTGCTCTGTTCAGGTAACTTCATGAACCACTCAGACTTTGCCTTTGTGGTTTGACATCCCTGGAACCCCTCAATGGAATTACAGCATCATAATTCACAGGCATCTGTTCCTTATTATACACACTGTATAGTGGATATAGCAGAATTCCTGCTGCCAGCTAGCAGGAAAGAGAAGTAATATTTCACAGCTCTGCAGTAAAGGAGGTCTGTATTTCACAGTTATGACAACATAGCTGTCAAATATGGCTTTTTAAAGTGTTACATATGAACCCAGACAGTTTTTATGGTAGCATTTGTTTCACGGGGCAACTTAAGGTGAGCCTTGAATGGTCTGAAATTCAGCTACTTGAGAAACTGTCTTTCCCACTGTTGTTAGTTATAGCTATTAAGATCAGCTTCTAGGTGCTTTATGTCAGGTCTCCACCCAGCTGTGGTTGCTGCTGTCTGCAGAAGAGTACATGTGTTTGGTTTCACTGAGTAGTATGTTGCTCCATGTCAGTTCACATATAACAGGCATTTGAGTTGTTTATCTGTTGGGTGGAGTATAGTAGCTGCTTCTCGCAAAAGATATAATGGGAAAAAAAAAAGGCTTTTAAAAGATGGTGAATGGCTACTGTGTCATGTTTACCCTGTGAAGGATGCAGGGATATGCAGTGTAGTTTCTGTTATGTCCTCTGAGCTGTTCTGAGAAGTTCTGGCTTTGGCTCCACTCACTTGGCATAAGACTATATAACTTATATTCAGAGAAGCTATAATTATTTAGTTTGAGCAGGAAATTTAGTAGAGCGTGGTTCTGTGACTAGTCAGGTTAGGTCACTGAGCACCTTAAGGTAAGTGTGTCAGGTTCTCTGATAGTTTAGATACAACAGTGACGTTGCACACATTCAGTAGGAAAGCACCTTCACATCTTGTAAACAAGCATTTCAGGTTATGCCACGTGGGGGAAAAACGTACACACACGCTCACCCCTTTTATTGGGTTAAATATAATAAACCTAAGCTATTTGTGGAAGTACTTAAACTCACTGATTCTTCGCTAAATGATGATAATTTCCTAGGGAAGTTTTAGGGCTTACCCTAGAATATATTCCTGAAGTCTTCAGAAAGCACTTCTTTTTGAGATGCACTATTGCCATCAACGGATGCCTTGAATAGATGCATAGTATCATGGTTTCTGCCGTGCAGCTGAGCTGTTCTGAAAAGATCATTAAGAGGTTTAACTATGATTTCGATGTCCTGAGTGTGAATGAATGAACACCATGTTCCCTGTATGAACTTATTCCAGAGTTTGGTAAGGTTTTTCCACTTCTGAACTTGTGATTGTAGTATTTCATATTAAAATTGTGACCAAGAGGTGCAACAAAAAAAAGGCTCAAATCCAAAACTGTTGTGTTTGATTG